CAAGAGACAGGAATACTCCGTTGAGGGGTTGATTGCGTCTCTTGATGTTGAGGAGAAAGCTCGGGAAAAAGATGCCGCGTCTAAGGGCGATGGTGGGCAGTCCAGTGCCAATGTTGTGCACAAGGCCCAGAACAAGAGCAAGGGGAAATACAAAGCTCAGCAGACCACCAACTTCAAGAAGCAGAAGAAGAACAACAACAATCCTAATCAGGATGAGAGGACTTGCTTTGTGTGTGGCCAAGTTGGTCATCTGGCTAGGAAGTGTCCACAACGCAAGGGGATGAAGGCACCTGCAGGGCAGACTTCTAAGTCTGCTAATGTGACCATTGGCAACACTGGAGATGGAAGCGGGTATGGTAATTTACCTACTGTTTTTTCAGTTAATCAATCTACTAATTGGTGGGTTGATACTGGGGCCAATGTACATGTTTGTGCTGACATCTCATTGTTTTCTTCTTATCAGGTCGCACGGGGTTCCACCGTCCTAATGGGGAATGGGTCACATGCTTCTGTTCATGGTGTTGGCACGGTAGATCTGAAGTTTACTTCGGGAAAGATCGTGCAGCTGAAGAACGTACAGCATGTCCCTTCTATCGACAGGAATCTTGTTAGTGGCTCCCGTCTGACTAGAGACGGATTTAAGTTGGTTTTTGAGTCTAATAAAGTAGTCGTGTCTAAACATGGATATTTTATTGGTAAAGGTTATGAGTGCGGAGGCCTGTTCCGTTTTTCCCTTTCTGATTTCTGCAATAAGTCTGTGAACCATATTTGTGGCAGTGTGGATGATGAGGCTAATGTTTGGCATTCACGTTTATGTCATATTAATTTTGGCTTGATGTCTCGGCTTTCCAGCATGTGTTTAATTCCTAAGTTTTCCATTGTCAAAGGTTCTAAGTGCCATAGTTGTGTGCAATCGAAGCAACCTCGCAAGCCTCACAAGGCTGCCGAGGAGAGAAACTTGGCACCACTAGAACTCCTACATTCAGATCTTTGTGAAATGAATGGGGTGTTGACGAAGGGTGGAAAACGATATTTCATGACATTGATCGATGATGCTACTAGATTTTGCTATGTGTACTTGTTGAAAACGAAAGACGAGGCTCTAGACTATTTTAAAATTTATAAGGCAGAAGTTGAAAATCAACTTGACAGAAAGATAAAAAGGCTTAGGTCTGATCGTGGTGGAGAGTTTTTCTCGAACGAGTTTGACTTATTCTGTGAGGAACATGGCATCATACATGAGAGGACGCCTCCCTATTCTCCCGAGTCTAATGGGATTGCTGAAAGGAAGAACCGCACACTGACTGACTTGGTGAATGCCATGTTGGACACCGCGGGACTGCCTAAGGCATGGTGGGGGGAGGCATTGTTGACCTCAAATCATGTGTTAAACAGAGTTCCTAACAGAAATAAGGACAAAACACCATATGAGATATGGATTGGTAGAAAACCATCACTTTCTTATTTGCGCACATGGGGGTGCTTGGCGAAAGTCAATGTACCAATAACGAAGAAGCGCAAACTTGGACCTAAGACTGTGGACTGTGTTTTTCTGGGATATGCTCATCATAGCATTGCCTATAGATTTTTAATAGTTAAATCCGAGGTACCGGACATGCATGTTGGTACAATTATGGAGTCTCGTGATGCTACCTTCTTTGAGAGCTTTTTTCCAATGAAGGATACACATAGTGGTTCGAACCAACCCTCTGAAATAATTCCCAGTTCAATCACACCACCAGAACAAACTGAACATACACATGAACTTGTCTCTGAGGAGGATGTCAGTGAAGCTCCTCGAAGGAGTAAGAGACAAAGGACGGCTAAGTCTTTTGGTGATGATTTCACTGTGTACCTCGTGGATGACACTCCTAAGTCAATTTCAGAAGCATATGCATCTCCTGATGCAGACTACTGGAAGGAGGCTGTCCGTAGTGAAATGGATTCCATTATCGCTAACGGGACTTGGGAGGTGACAGAGCGACCCTATGGGTGTAAACCTGTGGGGTGCAAGTGGGTGTTCAAGAAGAAGCTTAGGCCTGACGGTACTATTGAAAAGTACAAGGCTCGGCTTGTTGCTAAGGGCTATACTCAGAAAGAAGGCGAAGATTTCTTTGACACTTACTCACCTGTTGCTAGATTGACCACAATTCGTGTGCTACTTTCCCTAGCAGCCTCACATGGTCTTCTCGTTCATCAAATGGACGTTAAGACAGCTTTTCTTAATGGAGAGCTGGATGAGGAGATCTATATGGATCAACCTGATGGGTTTGTAGTTGAAGGTCAAGAAGGCAAAGTGTGCAAATTGTTGAAGTCTTTGTATGGTCTGAAACAAGCTCCTAAGCAATGGCATGAGAAATTTGACAAAACATTGACATCTGCAGGCTTTGCAGTCAATGAGGCAGATAAATGTGTGTACTATCGCCATGGTGGGGGTGAGGGAGTTATTTTGTGCTTGTATGTTGACGACATACTGATATTTGGGACAAACCTTGAGGTGATAAATGAGGTTAAATCATTCTTGTCTCAAAATTTTGATATGAAAGATTTGGGAGTAGCTGATGTTATCTTAAACATTAAGCTAATTAGAGGTGAGAATGGGATTACTCTCTTGCAGTCCCATTATGTGGAGAAAATCTTGAATCGCTTTGGCTACATTGATAGTAAGCCTTCTCCAACACCTTATGATCCTAGCTTGTTGCTTCGCAAGAACAAGAGAATTGCTAGGAATCAACTGGAATACTCCCAAATCATTGGCTCGTTGATGTACCTGGCTAGTGCAACTAGGCCTGATATCTCCTTTGCTGTGAGCAAGTTGAGCCGATTTACTTCTAATCCGGGAGATGATCACTGGCGTGCGCTTGAGCGAGTAATGCGCTATCTGAAAGGTACTGTGGAATTGGGGCTTCACTATACTGGGTATCCTGCGGTACTGGAGGGTTATAGTGATTCTAACTGGATCTCTGATGTGGATGAGATCAAAGCCACTAGTGGATATGTTTTCACACTGGGTGGTGGTGCTGTTTCATGGAGGTCTTGCAAACAGACAATTTTGACGAGGTCAACCATGGAAGCAGAACTAACGGCACTGGATACTGCTACTGTTGAGGCAGAATGGCTGCGTGATCTATTAATGGATCTGCCTGTTGTTGAAAAACCGGTGCCGGCTATCCTTATGAACTGTGACAATCAAACGGTAATTGTCAAAGTGAATAGTTCTAAGGATAATATGAAATCGTCTAGACATGTGAAAAGACGATTGAAATCTGTCAGGAAATTAAGAAACTCCGGAGTTATAACGTTGGATTACATCCAAACAGCGAGAAACCTGGCAGATCCCTTCACGAAGGGACTATCACGAAATGTGATAGACAATGCATCGAAGGAGATGGGTTTGAGACCCATGTGAGTTATACTATGGTGGTAACCCAGTCTATGTGATCGGAGATCCCGTGAATTAGATCCTGGGAAGAACAAACCATTAATAAACTAGAGGAGAGTACCAATATATATACCCTATCCAAGTGAAGATGCATATACTCTCGTGAGCTGCAAGGCAGGTTGGCTATGCCTTAATGAGTTCTGTTGGCTTTAATTAGCAAAGATGTTGTCCTGCAGAGCATTCTTGAAGGAACTCACCTTTGTGAGCTTGACTGTTGGTCGCAGTCTATGAAGATTTTGGGTGAATCTTCTAGGAAGCTTACTAAAGACCTAGGAGTATGACTTATACGCTCCACCCGAGGGGTAGTCTACAGACGGTCTAGTACCAGATAAGACTTTGAGTGAAACTTGCTTGCACAAGACTTGCAATTCAAGGCGTAGTCCATTGTTCAAGTTGTGAGTAAGTGTAGCTTGGAGTTCTAGGTGGATGTTCAACCTTAATTGGTCTCCATCGAACCGCTGGTATATAAACAGTACATTGGAAAAGGCAAATCTCAGTGGGATTTTGAGATTTGGTGGGGGATTGTTGGAATTAATAAATGGGTCTTAGCCCACTCGAAGATTAATTCTTTGGAAAATCACAAAAGCCCACCTCATGGGATGGCATGCATGTGGAGTTTAGTACCACCTTGCTTATTCTAGGAGAGGGGGACCTCCTTAAAAGGGAGGATGCCCTCCTAGCCACTTGAAGCATGTGTGGTGGAGAGAAGAGGGGAAACACACGCGCGCGCTCGCTCGCCTGGCCTGGCCTGGCAGGGCAGGGCAGGGCAGGGCAGGGCAGGGCAGGCGGCGCGCGTGCACGACGTACGCGTCGAATGGTCCGAAAAATTGGCTCCTCACCTTTGCGCAGATGCAGCCTCCTTTTGCAGTTTTGTTTTGCTGCAAATTCGGATTCGTTTTGTTTTGGAAACGTTCCGAAAAATCCGGTGCGTGCAAACGGCGTGGAGTCCGGATAAGTTACGCGCGACTTATCCGGTTCGGTTACGCGCAGTAGAGATCGTGCGGCGCCCTGATCAAGCGACCCTTCTCTATATAAACCGACCCGCCGTCTTCACGCAATATGTGCGAAAATCAATCTAGGGTTTGCCTCCTACTCTGTACTGCGCCGTCGCTCGTAGACTACTCCATCCCGCTCGCCGGCGTGCACCAGCGATCGGGAGAGCAGGTCTCCGGAACCTCTGCCTTTGACGTCCTGCACCGGGAGAAGGCGGCAATAAGGTTTTTGGGAAGCGCTTCGCGCGACTGCTCCCTGTTCGTTCGCGACGGCTCGCCTTCCTCTTCGCTCGCGTGTTTCGTGCCTTCGTAGACACCTGCGAAAAGTTTCGACCAAGCAGCCGGTCTTTTCGTCACCTCGGTACGTGTTCAATATGTTGCGCATATTTGATCTGTTCATGTTATTCTGCGTAGTTTACATGTGTAGATCTAATGATGCGTTCATGCTAGTTTTCATCTGTAATGTCATGATTTATTTATGGAATAAATTAAATCATTATATGCCCATAATCTCAACAGAAATAGCTAGCTAGCGCTATAGCAGCTTGCTTATAGCAAGTGTGGTGATGATGGCATCTGCTCCTTCAGCTCAGGAAGAACCCCTACAGCCAGGGACGATGCAATTCAGGAAGCAGCTTGCTGCTGCCGTGAGGAGCATCAGTTGGACCTATGCCATCTTTTGGTCCATTTCAACTACTCGTCCAGGGTAATTAACTGGTCACAGACTCTATAATGGTAACTATATATTCCATACTGCTTATGCCATGTTATTATACGTATATATACGTTTGTAAGTTCATCTATCAGATTTGTATCAATTAATTACTCATATCATCATCCAATAAAGGCTCATTTGGAGCGCAGATTGGAAAACAATATGAGTATTGAAAAACATAGAAAAATATGAGATCGTCTGTTCTAGCACAGGAATTAGGTAAAACATATGAATATATCTTACAAAACAACCTAAAGAATAAGGGCTGAGATCGATCCATATTTCGAACAGAGGGATTTTGGAGAAAAATTGAAGGATATACTATATTAATTCCTAGGGAAAGAATTCCTCTATGGTCCTTCATGACGAAGGAAATGGCTCGCCAAATTATAGGAATTTAGGAATTTCTTTTTTCATTTTAAAAAAAAATCTTTGTATCTATCTCTTTCTTCTAATTACCGTGTTTTTCCTTTGCTCCATTCAAACGGACATTCTTATGTTTTTAATTTGTTTTTCCATCCATAGGATTTAATGTGCCCAGGGCACTTGAATACTACTATGTTTTTTCCTATCAATATATTTTGAAAATCCTATATTCCTAATTTGGCGATTAATTATTGATTTGCCTTGGACTTAGCAAAGGAATAATTTCCTCTATTTTTGCTATGCCTCAATCATTGAATCCAAGAGAATGAATAGTGCCAAACCCTATAGTAATTGAACTCCTCCTTGTTTCTTACAAAATTCATGCAAACAAAAGGAACACTATGTGAGATATTTTTTTTCTTTATATTGATTGGAGCTTTCTTAATTAGAAGACCTCGTATCAAATCCTTGGTGGATAAAATAAATTAATTCCTGCATTAATAAGAAACATAGAAATTTCTATATTAACCGAGAAAACCATAGCCATCCAATTTAGCCCCTCATCATTTGCTTGTTAGCATATCAGTCCCATGCATGTCTCACAGCCAATAATATATATACGGTCACGCTACATGACGCGACACAGGCGTTGCGTGCCAGGAAATAAAGTGGCGCGTCACCTAGCCATCCCCTTCTCGATATTTCCGTTTTCTGGCTCCTTCTCCCCCACACCTTCAAAAGGTAAAAGAAATTACTCTCCGGTGTAGCGGTACTCCAAACATCTCCTGCCTCCATTCCTACGAGGAGCGATACCTTGTCCCCACGTGCCTCCCTCATCCCGTATCCTCTCATCTTAGTAAAAATTTTACTAGAAATTCCAGAGCAACAAACCTCTTTCTATATCAGTGAAATAATTTTTACTTCTCACAATTTAGGGGCTCGAAAATACTTGTCATGTTCAGTAATATTTTCACTCTAGTATATTTGTTTTTCATTCCCTCATGGTGTGCTCATAGTAATATTTTTATCACATGTATATTCGTAGTAAGTAATATATTTACTCAGTCTATCAATATGGGAAAAGATGAGTAAAATTTTTGCTGATGTTGCAAATTATCCGCCATAGTAATTTATTTACTAACATTTTTATTCTGATTAGTAACACATTTATTTCAATGGTGTCGGTTAAAAATGGAAAGTAGAAAATTATCAACCATCACAATTACTCAGCAGATCATCTGACTCTGTGAGTATAAAAACTACAAGGAGTAGACTTTACAGTGGATCATAAGATCCACCAGTAAAAAGTTACACAGTTAATCTATAAGTGGAAAAATTACTCAACAGGAGAAACTACTACTTTTCAGCATGACTCCAGTACGTGGCTGGCTGCACATGGATTGAGTAAAATTTTTACTACGCATCTTCCAGTGGCTCTCATTCAATTAGGTGGCGCTTTGTGTTTACGTTGGCGAGTTAAAAAATTAGTGATCATCTTGATGTGGTGGGGGAGCCAAAGGACGAGGGGAGGGCTTACGCTGGGTGTTGTGAGACGTGCCATTTAGCTATATGACACGTAGGGTGTCATATATAGTAGTTCTTTCTCTGTGTGATTGTTTGTATAAATCGATCTATATAGACCTACAAAATTTTTGGCTGTCACATCAGACGTTTGACCGGATGTTAGAAGGAGTTTTCGGACACGAATGAAAAAAACTAATTTCATTACTCGCCTGGAAACCGTAAGACGAATCTTTTAAGCCTAATTAATTTGTCATTAGCACATGTGAGTTACTGTAGCACTTATAGATAATCATGGACTAATTAGGCTCAAAAGATTCATCTCACGATTTCCCCGTCCCTAACTGTACAATTAGTTTTTAATTTTATCTATATAATGCTCCATACATGTGTTTAAAGATTTGATGTGATGTTTTTTGAAAAAAAAAATTGAGAACTAAACCGGGTCATATTATTCCACATGTAGAGTCCTGACATGGAATGACGGGTTCTACAACGGCGAGATAAAGACAAGGAAGATAGAGAACAACCTAGTGACGGAGCTCACAGCTGAGCAGCTCCTCCTACAGAGAAGCGAGCAACTGAGGGAGCTGTACAACTCTCTCCTCTCTGGTGAGTCTGCAGACCAACAGAGGAGGAGGCCTGTCACTGCACTATCGCCGGAGGATCTCGGCAACGTAGAATGGTACTACGTTGTCTGCATGACCTACGCCTTCCGCCCTGGACAATGGTACATTTCTTTGATAATTACTGGTACTACAATTATGTCTTAAAATGAATTTCCTGTGCTCTGAATCGTGCCACAGATGGTGGTACTGCTACTAGAATTAATTAAAGCTTCAATGAAATTCCCTGTGCTCTGAATTTTGACACAGATGGTAGTTGCATATGTACGAGACAATTAATAGAAAGCGTACATGATATATACTATCAGAAATCTATACTCCTACCTTCTATCAAATTATACTAACCCACTAAGCACATAAATATCTCAACATGCAAAAATAGTAATTATTAGTACATTCTAATTAAAGGCTAATAATTAGTACATCAACTCACTAAACACCTAAACCTCAACATGCATGTGCAGCAATTACATCGTACAATTCATTACATTCTTAAACCTTAATATACAAACATGCTAAATACATTATATATCCTATATATTTATAAAGTTCATACTTTGCAAGTGCAATTAAAGTTATTTTCCTCTTCTTTCGTTGTGCCCCATCACCTCAATATATTTCATCTGTTAGATCAAAGTTTAGCGCTCCAGATGGTTCCAAAGTACCTTTGCTAAGGGCCATATTGGATTAAGCTTAGTTGGTTCAGATTGTTTTAGTACCATACATTATAGCGCTTGCATTTACTCCTTCTGTGCAGCCATAGTTATTTCTATTTCGATTTTGGACTAGTGTTACTATATATCATGCATACATTAATTCTATTAGAAAAAAGACTAGTAAGACTTGCTAAATGAACCAATTTCTCAGTTCCTACATGTCATGTTTTTCTCAATAAATATGTTCAGGTTGATTCGATTCATGTTCATGTCGATTTGATTTTAGCTCCTATACCCAATACCTTTTAATTTCATTTCATCGATTTGCTTATGTTAATTTTACAGATATTTCAGTAACAGCGTGCGGAGTATCATGCATCTAGTATATAAAATACATGCATATATATGTAACCTAAACTGAAAATAGTGGACACTTGAAGCAAATTACAGTACATGGTTGATTTGTACTAGACATTCATTCTCAATGGGTAATTATTTTCATTAACTGTAGTGTCTATCTTTAGCATATATACGCGTTTCATACACAAAAATCTACTTCCTCCATCTAAAAAAAAAGACAAACCGTGGGTTCCCGTGCCAACGTTTGACTGTCCGTCTTATATGAAATTTTTTTATAATTAGTATTTTCATTGTTGTTAGATGATAAAACATGATTAATACTTTATACTTGACTTATCTTTTTAATTTTTTTCATAATTTTTTTAAATAAGACGGACGGTTAAACGTTGAATACGGAAACCGGGGTATGTTTTTAGAACGGAGGGAGTAGCTGATAAACATAATTCTCATTCACCGACGGATTGCTAGTATTATATCGATCCCATGTAAGTAGGCAGAGGTCAGAGATACACAAGGTAGCTAGTCAAGCATATGTACAGTGTTGTTACTTGAAGTGTTGTGCGGGTACAGTGTACTGAAGTGTTGTAAATTAGGCTGTGTTTAGATCTAAAGTTTGGATCTAAACTTCAGTCCTTTTCCATCACATCAACCTGTCATACACACATAACTTTTTACTCACATCATCTTTAATTTCAACTAAAATCTAAACTTGCCTAGTACTTCACTGATCTAGTGGTGGTGTACGTGGATGCATGAACTTACAGTTTGCCAGCATGCACTATTTATTGGTGTCCGTACATTAATTATGAGCACCACTGATGGGTAATACTACTCATCAGTATCGGTTGTTGGCAGTACGTACGTACTCTAGTAACGTGACCGGAAGTGTGGACCGGTGGGAAACCTAATTTTGTTTGTCTTTTGTCAAACCAACACCGGAAGTGCGGTGCCGTTGTGGGTTTTCATTCCGACCGTCCGTCTTATTTAAAAAATTTATAAAAAAATTAAAAAATTAATCACATATAAAATATTATTCATGTTTTATTCATCTAATAATAACAAAAATGCTAATTAGAAAATGTTTTCAATAAGATGAATGGTAAAACTACACCTTTTTTAGACGAATGTAGTATTGATGTGTACTCTCTCCGTCTCAAAAAAAACCTCAACCTATTATTGGATGGGACGTTTTCTAGTATAACGAATCTAGACAGGAGTATATCTAGATTTATTGTACTAGAAAACATCACATCCAATACTAGATTGAGTTTTTTTTGGAAGGAGAGAGTAGATGTGTAGCTTCTGCCCGGACGGTTGGCAGTCGTAAGTCCAACCTATCCTGAAGTGTTGTTTTTATTGATCTGCTTGTGGTGTGCGTGGTGTATGCATGCACTGTCAGTGTGCCAGGTAAAAGCTTTGCAAGCAATGGATGTGCCTGGCTGTGCAACGCTCAGTCTGCCGATAGCAAAGCCTTCCCGCGCAAGCTCTTAGCCAAGGTACGTACATTAATTAATTAATAAATTAACCGGCTCATTAATTCATGGCATATAGTTGATCGACCTAACTTATGCATACTCTCTCTTTTGACCAATAATTTGTTATATATATGCAGAACGCTTCTATTCAGGTATGTACATATTCTACATGCATGCTTCGTCAGGTCAAATTGATGTTCGTACGTCACATATATACTGTATATTATTTCTGATCTGCATCAGCTAATGAAATGAAATCTCGATTGGTTATACGCACAGACAATTGTCTGCGTTCCATTCATGACTGGCGTTCTTGAGCTTGGGACCACTGATCCGGTAAGCGCAACGTTAAATTACAGAGACATACATACATATATGATAATATAGCACTATATATATATGTATATATATACAGCACCATCTAGCTAGGCAAGCCTTTAATTTGTTACATGCAAGGGCTTGCAAAGATAATCTAATGTGGAAGCTAGAAAAAAAATAAAATATTGACTGTCATATCATAGTAAGATTAGATTTTAACGGTTCGGATTGATTGCACAATATTAGATAGGGTATAAGTTTTGGACTTTAGAGTCCTCCATATGATACAGCTACTACTAAAAAATACACATAGAAGCCGGCACTATAGGTGCCGGAAGTGCTAAAACAGACACCTATAGGCCTTTTCCCGTCTCCACGGGCTGAAAACACAAAAAAAACCAGCACCTTCATATAACTATAGGTGTAGGTTCTAAAGAAAAACCGGCACCTATAATGTACATGCCGGTTTTTAGAAAAAATCAGAACCATTAGTATATTAAAGGTGTTTTTTTTAGAAAACCGACACCTTCTAGAACCGAGCCGAGCCGGGTGGGAGACGGTTCGGCCTAGTGACTTCTCCTCCTCCTCCCTTATCTCTTCTCCTCCTCCTCCCTAATCTCTTCTCTCCTCATCTCCAACTCCAACCCTCTCTCTCTCTCTCTCTGAGGCGGCGGTGGCTAGAGGGGAGGCGGCGGCGGCGGGGAGGATGAGCCCTATCCTCCGCCAGATCTGGCGAGAAGGAAGGTGTAACAGTCCTTCCTCCTGAACCGCGTAGCCAACCCAATTGACGGGTAGGCCCACTTACACATACCACCCCACTGAAAACACTATCAGAGATGATTACGTTGCCTGATGAAATTGTGATTGCTTATAGGGATAGCGAGGATTCAGTATACGAATTGATTAATCATGTGTTTCCCTCGCTTCATGATAAAAATAATGCAAACTTTGCATCTTATATGAGTACACATGCCATTCTATCCACTAAAAATGATTATGTGGACAAACTAAATGCAAATATGATCGACAGATTTTCAAGGCATGCCAAGGTTTATCACAGCTTTGACTCTGTTGATGATGATCCTCACAATAGCTATCATTTGGACTTCCTTAACTCCATCACACTCCAAATGGTCTCCCACCATACGAGCTAATGGTAAAAATCAATTGTCCCGTGATTCTTCTTCGCAACCTTGATCGTAATAATGGATTGTGCAACGGAACTAGACTGATGGTAAGAGCTTTTCAAGATAATGCAATTGATGCTGAGATTGTTGGTGGACAACATGCCAGCAAAAAGGTGTTTATCCCATGTATCCCTTTGTCTCCCTCCGACGATATATCTCTTCCTTTCAAACTCAAGAGGAAGCAATTTCCAATACGTCTCAGTTTCGCAATGACCATTAACAAATCACAAGGACAAACCATTCCAAATGTTGGGATCTATCTTCCAGAGCCCGTGTTTTCACATGGTCATGCATTGTCAAGGGGTGTGTCAAGGCTAACAACAAGGATTTTGGCAAAGCCAAAGAAAGAAGTTGACCCCACAGGGAAGAGCACGAGGAATATCGTGTATAAATACGTTCTTGACTGGTGAGCAAAGGCAGGTTCGCATGATCTAAATTAATTTAAAAACATATTGTTGAAGATAGTAAATTGCTGATCGGCATATTACTCACCACCGTCCTCTTGTTTTGTATAGCATGCCATCCTCATTCATATCGAATGTCGTGTGATCATCTTCTACATACCATCTCACACTATATGCGTCAGTTTGCACTAGGTTGATAACCTGACTATTTGTTAGCACTTGTGTCTTTCTAAATATGTACTTTTGCCATTGGCAAATTTTAGTAATCGTTCCATGTAAATCTTGAAAGAAGACGTTAACGCGATGACCAACAATTGTTACATTGTTATACATTGTGAAACTATTACTTCAATATCTGTATCATATCAAACTGTTATTTGGGTTTATATTCACGCCCTCATGCCATGTCCTCAATGGGCTGCGTTAGCGTGTGCCCTTGTGTGACAAATATAAAAAACAATATTTTTTTTATCTAGCATATAAAATTATTTTTTTGCTAACACGAAATTTTAAAAATTATTAAAGACAAATAGAATTGCACCGTAGCATTTAGCACGGGCATATTACTAGTATAACTATAGGTGTCAGTTCTAAAGAAAAACCGGCACCTATACTATACATGTCGGCTTTTAGAAAAAAAGTGAAACCGTTAGTACATTAAATGTGTCGGTTGACACCTTCTAGAACCGATGCGGTCCGACCTGGTTTCTTCTCCTCCTCATCTCCAACTCCCACGGGGAGGAGTCCTCCCCTTCGCCACATCTAGTGGGAGGGGAGGTGTAACAGCCCTTTGCCAGATCTAGTGGGAGGGGAGTTGGGAGGGGAGGTGATCTACACATCTAGTGGGAGGGGAGGTGTAACAGCCCTCCCTCCTCTTCGCCAGATCTAGTGGGAGGGGAGGTGTAACAGCCCTCCCTCCTCATCTCGATCTGGGAGGGGAGTTGGGAGGGGAGGTGATCTACACATCTAGTGGGAGGGGAGGTGTAACAGCCCTCCCTCCTCTTCGCCAGATCTAGTGGGAGGGGAGGTGTAACAGCCCTCCCTCCTCATCTCCAACTCCCACAGGGAGGAGTCCTCCCCTTCGCCACATCTAGTGGGAGGGGAGGTGTACCCTCCTCATCTCCAACTCCCACAGGGAGGAGTCCTCCCCTTCGCCACATCTAGTGGGAGGGGAGGTGTAATAGCCCTTTGCCAGATCTAGTGGGAGGGGAGGTGTAACAGCCCTCCCTCCTGAACTACGTAGCCAGCCCATTTGACAGGTAGGCCCACTTATACATACCACCCCACTTAAACTTTCTTCCTCGCTCCGTATAAAATGGTTAACCTGGGAGTGCAATGGTTGGAGGCAAGAGGCCTTATAAGCTGGTTTCTACCTTGTTAAACTAGCAAGGTGGTACTAAACATGCACGCACAGCTCTCATGGGCCACACAGGCCTCATCATAATTGGGCCAAGATTTCACATACACCCCTCCTCCCACCCCCCTCAAAGGACCTGACGTTACCGTCAGTCAAACTTACCCATGTTGCCACATAGGCATTTAGGCAAATGTCCAGGAACACGCCCCCTCTTAGCACACATTCGTATGTCCAGTGTCGGCGCCATATGCCTTACAGAGAGCCCTCATGCGCCATGCACTATATACCCGCACATTGACCCGTACGCACAATCGCTGCCACATAGGCATTTAGGCAAATGTCCAGGAACACGCCCCTCTTAGCACACATTCGTATGTCCAGTGTCGGCGCCATATGCCTCACACAGAGCCCTCATGCACCATGCACCATATACCCGCACATTGACCCGTACGCACAATCGCGAGGGTCGGCTCTCTGATACCATTTGTAACAGCCCTCCCTCCAGAACCGCGTAGCCAGCCTATCTGACGGGTAGGCACACTAACACATACCACCCAACTTACACTTTCGTCCTCGCTTCGTATAAAAGGGTTAACCCGGGAGTGACATGGTTGGAGGGAAGAGACCTTATAAGTTGGTTCTCACCTTGCTAAACTAGCAAGGTGGTACTAAACATGTACACACATCTCTCATGGGCCACACGGGACTCATCCAAATTGGTCCAGGATGTCATAGGAGGCAGCGGGAGGGGCAGTGGGCTTGCCGGTAGGGAGGAGGCGACGGCAGGTGGAGGAGCCCTCCCCTCCACCAAATCCGGCAGGAGGAGAGACGGCGGCTCGAAGACAACGAATACGGCGGCAGCTTGAAGACAATGAATACGGCGGCAGTTCGAAGACGAGAGCACAGTATATGATTAAATTAATTTCAAAACAAAAAATAAAATGAAATCTGAAATTAGAAAAGAAAAACGAGAGTCCAGATAGGAATGAAATTTATAATTAACAAAAATTCAAAATAAAAATAAAAATATTAAAAGAACAATCCATCCATAACACAAATGTGGCAAATGATAATAACGAGAGGAGGGACAGCAGGCGAGCCACAAATGAGTATGGTGCTGGCAGTTGATGGGACAAATAAAAACTATAAAAGAACTCCAATGACTATTAAATTTGATTTTAAAATCCTAATGACAATTAAGAAGATAGGCGGTGGGGATGCTATGAATGAGCAGCGTCGAGGCGGTTGTTGGGACTTATAGAAAGAAAAAATTGAACCAAACGATAATAAGGTTCAATTTTATAGATCCTAATGACTGATAAAGAGGGTGGCAGTGTCTAGGCAATAGGCCGGGAGTACAATGATGACATTTGATGAGACTTCTAAAACCCATTGAGACAATAAACTATAAAACTATGAGGTCCCTTTTTAAAGATATCCCAAGGAAGAGAGTATCACATTAGATAGAGGGTTGTGAGCCACAATGCGGATTGAGCAAAGATTGAGGTGTGATGGTAGCTAGAGACCTCTTGCAACAAATTGTGAAATACGTACCTATGGCGTCAAGTAAAAAAATAGGTATAGCCCTAGTCTTTGTGTAACTTTGGTCAATATATACATAAACCAAATGAAATCTACCTTTTTGTATATTGGCAGTTAAAATATAAGGTCTCATTTTGTGTTTAGCACTTTGACCTCTAGTTCTTGGGATACGACCATGTGTTAATGTCATCGTATATTCACAAAAGTAAATTAATGCACCAACTCATAATACATTATAAAGTGTAAACTACACGTACATACACAATTCGTAGACTAGTAAAGTGCAAATTTAATACAAATTAATGAACTACAACTTTTATTTTCCGTTATTGTTTATTAATTCAACAAATCTAGATGCATTTGTTATGCTTATATATATTGATCATAGGATAATTGAGAACTAGAAAGGTAGCCCGCACACATGCACAGGCACCTTCTTATATATATAATGTGAATGAAATTTTGTTATAAATATTTATGTGTGGGTAGATTTTTATTAAAATATTGTATTATATTCTAAACTAAAAT